ACATTTTTATGATTTATATTGCCCACAGAATTTACCTTGATGTCAGCATGATTGTCTCTTCGATGTTTTTCTTTGTGCTCTTTTTTATTTTCTTATATTTTTCTTTGTGCTCTTTATATGGTCTAATTGCTTGTTTGCGCTTTACTGGATTGTAGTCTCCAGGTGAAGAAGAAAAAAAACCAGTGAACAGATAAATTTAATTCAACCTAAATTACTTGTGTTTGAGAAGATGGTAAAGTAGCTAGAGAGTGATTTTTTTATTTTTTTTTTCGGGTTTGATATTTACCAAATCATACATAGTTCCCGGTACTGGAACCGAATCAAAATGGAGTAAACCGATTTTGATAAAATAAAAGGTCGATGTTTAATTTCTTTTGTGTCGATAGGTGTTGCTTTGGTTGTTTTTTTAAGGTGTTTAGTGATAAATGTTAGCCATATGTTATGAAAGTTAAACAAATATAAGCATATTAGTGAAGATAATTTTTTTAATTTAAAAAAAGGATGATAAATATGGAAAATGAGCATAAAATATGTACCATATTCCTTGGGCTGATATGGGCTGATACGGCCTTTTAATAGGCTCAGAAAAGCCTGGTTTTTACGGGACCACTAAAGATAATCCCAAACTTTCGAGCTCTCTGCTCTTTGTTAGTTGTTTTATGAAGCTTACGTGGACGTAATTCGAATACCATATGGATATATAGTATATACCCTCTCTTGAAGCTTCCAACTGTGCAGAAATATTTCAATTGCTACTCCATCATCGTGTACTTAGAGAAGAGACCAAGTCAACCATAGATTTGACTTTAATCCATAGTGCTAAAAACTAGGTAAATTATTTATCATTCTAACACCCAGAGTGCTATTATTGAAATTTCTGGGTAAGGGACAAAAATAGTATTCTTAATGTTACTGGTTTTTCGCTTTTGGTATATGGAATTTCAACTTCTTCAATTTTGATTTCAACCTTTCAATGACACAGATCTTTGACAGCAGTTGGTCCAATTTTAAGACTACCGATAAACTTTAACGTCGGTTTTGACGAAATGCAGGGTGTCATATGTGATCAAAATGAAGGTACCATTTGATTAATCAAGTTGATGATTTCAAAATGATAAAAGTAATTTGTTTTAGTTCGGCATTTTCAAAACTGCATATAAATTGTTGAAAACCACCACCACAAGCGGCAGACACAACAGATCGTGACCCTTAATTTATTTAAGTTGTAATCTTGAGTATAAAAGCCAAAAAATATTGTATAAATTATAAATTCAGATATTAAAAGTTGAATTTTCGCTTGTAATGTCAGGGACACATTTTAGTTTAATTTTATACTGAATGGACAAATTAAAAACCTGAAGAGCTCGAAATGATTGCATTAAAATTGATAGAGCCTTGCCAAAAAAGTGGTTGAAAGTTTCATGTCACGTGACTTGTTGGCCCTTCTCTTCCTCTTTCCTAGGGCGCACATAGATTGCAAACCTAAGATGTTCTGTACCTTAAAATATGTATCTACTTTCATATAACCTATGTGTAAATCTATGTTTTCATTTCATTTTCATACATAAATAATTGGCTGAATAAAACTCCATTTTATTGACCTTATCATGATGTTTTTAGCACATGGGACAGCGGGCCATACACACAAATGATAGTCAGATATAGGCTTTAGATAGAAAATAGCTTGGTTTCGATCATGGTACGATGGGACTAAGGAAATAATAATCTATCTAGAGAAACAATATTGTGTATAATATATACTTATGAATATCATAATTTTCAATTGAGAAAAAAGTTAAATTCAAATAAACTTTTTCTACTAATTCTTTATTTGTGCGTAGTTCATTCTGTTTGTTTGGACCTAAATTTAAGTGAATTGAGTAGTTGCTATACATTTTCATCTGATGAGGTGAGAATTTCTTTTTCTTTTAATAATATGTGGGACAAGAACATTGTGTACCGACACGACAATAATCAAGTTTGCAAAACTTAAAACTAAATGTCAATCTTAAATTACAGTTGATGTCAGGATTTGATATACAATTTGATCAAACGTATAAAAGATCCAAACTAGAGCAACGTGAATAATTGAATATCAAAACATGTCATTATATCAACTAAGTGAAACACTAAGCACGCCAAGACTAAAGAAAGATGACTATGAGAAGTACAGTACTCAAAAATATGAAATCTAACTATGAATCTCTAAGCTAAAACATAATTAAACAATCACATAACATAACAGGTGCAATAAGCAAATACAATAATTTGACGAGTGTACACAATAAGGTATACCATATATGCACAATTTCGAGCCTAATTATAAGCCCTTTGGAGTGTCATAAAGTCTAAAACAAGTGAAGCTATATTTTAAGCGTATATCTTTAAACAATAAAAACATACATAGATTTATCCAATCTGATAGCATTCAATAACAAGATCACATATTTCCAAAACTCAGGGTGTTCAGTCTATCATACTAGTGAGATCTCACCTTCATCATTGGATACATCATTAAAAAAATAATGAATATTAAAATAAATAAATCTTGCACCAAGTCCTCAAATCAATACAAAACAAATTAATGTTGCAATATTGATGGAGAAAGAAAATATATATATATATATATATATATATATATATGGGCGGATCAAATGCGGCCAGCTCTTAAAATGCGTCCAATTCTTAAAATGCGGACAACTCATAGCAACTACAGACAACTAACCTAGCAACTACAGAGAACTAACCTAGCTACTACTAACCTAACAACTACAGAGAATTAACCTAGCAACTACTAACTTAGCAACTACAGAGAACTAACATAACAACTACAGAAAACTAACCGAACAACTACAAAGAACTAACTTAGCAACTATAGAGAACTAACCGAGCTACCCGACCTCGAGTCGTTCTCAAAGAAAGACAGTTCGGAGCTTTGTTCACCACTTAATTGTCCAAATCACACAAAATGAGAAAATAGAAGCTAAACATGCTAATCAATTTGGATTGGGGATGAATTAACACTAATTGTACGAGGAATTAAAAGCAACAATCAAACGAGAGAATACAGAAAGTACGCCAAAAAATACACTCAAGAGCACAGAAAGTACGCCAAAAATACAAATTAAAAATAAAGACAAAGAAACACACGAAATACGATAAAATGGACCGGTTGACACTAAAACGAACTTAAAAAGACTAAACTACAACACATAAAGCACACGAAAATAAGCACAAAAACACAATAAACAGCCACAGCACGTTGTAATTGGACGCCGGAGGCGAGACACACCAGCGAAGTTGCAAGCGCCGGCGGCAAGACAAACCACCAGCCGGCCGCGTCAGCTCTCGCCCGTCGCCACTAAGATGTCGCCTCCACGACCCCGCCGCTCTGGTCGCCTACGAGAATGGAGCAGGAAATCTGAATTTTGAATTTGGGAGTTTGGGCCTCATTTATGAGAATTTAATATAATTAAGGGACTCAATAGCACGTTTGACAAGTTACAAGGATTGATTTGAAAAATTTAAGAGTTTTAATTATTTACATTAAACCATTGAGTTCAATGTGTGAATTCATAAAGATTTAACTTTATTCCAATTTGGTCCATGTCTAAATATGTTATTTATAGAAAATATATCAAAACATATTATTTTGTATATATTTTTGTAAACATATATGTATATTACGTATTATAAATAAAAAATAATAATATAAAATTATTCTATAAAATTATTAAAATCTTCAATATATTTTTAAAATATAAATTTGTAATAAATTGAAAATTCAAATTAGGGATTTAGGGTTTCAATGTCTTTATTTTAAAAAAATAAAAATAAAATTAGATAGTGTTGACGATGCAATTTTATTAATTTTGAGTATTTTTCTAATTAAGTTCATGACCAAATATTTAATTTATAGCAATATACTCATAAATGCATATCAATGATAAATAAGGTTTACAACGTTTAAAATTTTTAATATCTCAAATTTAATATATAAAAATTATTAAAATAAAAAATACAAGTTTGTAGTAATAAATAATAACTTATTTAAACTATTAAGGTTAATTCGATGTACAATTATATCTATTAAAGCTAGTTTTCATAAAACACATAACTTATACGTAATCTTATAAAGTAGTGCACTTTATATATCATTACGTTGCCCATTATGTAACAGAACGTTGCACTTTATAAAACAACTCGTTGCACATTATCACCACACTACACAATTAATGTAACCACTTCCCATAAAAAATATTACGCAATATAAATTTAGAAAAACGGATCTACATGATACTTTAATATTCATCACATCAACTATACAAAAAAACAAAAAAATAAAAAATAAAAACACACACAAGCATGCTAACGTACAAAAATTCCAATTTTGCATTTTAAATATCAATACGTTGCACTTTATATAACAAAACGATGCACTTTATAACACAACATTGTTCGCTAATTATTTTCGCTCCGCAAGTATACAGCGTAGCTATAGGTAGTGGCGAGCAAGGTCGTATTCCACAGAGATTGTAGTTAAATTATATAAGTACTAAAATAACAACGATTAAATATTATTTAGACTAGTGAATTGAATGATGAATATAAATTAAGAATTAAACTAAAAACTAATTTATCTATA